GCCTATTATACTATTTCTAAGACTAGATCTTCAATCTAGTTGACACTGCTCTTTTCCCATGTCATAAACAGAGGTGACTCAACACATAGAGTGGACTTAAAATCACAGGTGATGGAGGAACTACAGTTCAGGATTTTTAATTTTTCATAACAGCTACAATAGCTTCTTTTTTGCCATCATTATGATAGCCATATAATGCAGCCAGACAGCCACAATGTTTTTACTATAGTACATGGTTAACATTATAATGTCCCAGGGAATGAAATGCACCTGATAAGTATATAAATTTCAGATAGCTACACATATTTTCCTTTTCTTGGTATGACAGATTTTGGACTCGGTATTACACTATTTTTATAACAAATAGTTGTGAGCAGTCTTTATTTTTTTTTTAAAGATTTATTTATTTGTTATGTATACAGAAGAGGGTTCCAGATCTCATTACAGATGGTTGTGAGCCACCATGTGGGTACTGGGAATTGAACTCAGGACCTCTGGAAGAGCAGTCAGTGCTCCTAACCTTTCAGCCATCTCTCTAGCCCCGCAGTCTTTATATTTTAAAGATTATTATGTATGCAATTAGTATTGTTTCTTATTTGAACTTTTGGTGATTTAGCAGTGGTCCTGGGAATATGTTTTTTTTTTCTTTTTAGCTATGGCAGTTTTTTAAAAAATTTCTTCTATGTTGCCAGAGCATTCAGTTTAAATTATTTAGTTCATCAGGTTTACTTTGGGGACTTTTTTTCTATCTAAAACTACATCAATTTTTTCAAAAGGATTTTTCACCCGAGGCTCCTCCTTCCATACCTTATGATGGGATTACACATCCTGGAGTGACTGCAGAAAGCAGGGAACTACATTGGGGGCATTGCCTTCTTATGGAGGACTGAGAAAACATAGAGGATGATGAGCTGTGTACAAGTTATGTAACTGTGGATATAAGGGAAAGGAGGACCCTACATATGATGGGTGGAGGGAGAGAAAGACAGAACAATGAGGAGCAAAGGTAAAAGAACAATAAGGATGTCTGAAAAATCACAAGCAAATATAATGCTAACTACGTACCTTAAAAAAACCAATAGACTTTAAATCAGTGTGTAAATTTATGTATACACTTTAATAGTATTTTCATATCTGTACTGACTTGTTGCCTACAACACCCAAAGACCAATTATTAAAGCCCACACAATGAAGTATGTGAAGCCCTCTTTTGAGGTGTTGCTCAGACTTGGTTTCTTTTTATTTTCTTGTTGTTTCATTAAGTATGTATATATGTGTATACTAAATACATAATATACATTATATATATATATTCCTCAGTACATAAATACAATGACTCAACCTATACATTCTTAATAGTATGCCTGTGATTATAGTTAATATCTAGATGAATAGACATTGGCTTCTCAGATTTGCTTTTGATGCTCACACAGCCTGTAATCACCTGTGAAGTGTATCTCATCTAAGGGTTATCCAGAACTCTTTGGCATGTGGAAATATTCATGTGGGTGTCTCTTGTGTTAGTTGAAGGAGGAATGTTCTGCATATTATGGGGGAACATTTATCTAGGCAGAGTTTCCTGAATAAGAAGTGGCAGGAGATAGTTAGACAAGAACAAGTGAGGAGCCATGTGTTTATTCTCTCTAAGATATTGACTGTAGATATGGTGCTTTATGGTCCTTCCTAGGTTCTCCAAATTAATGGCATGTAGCCTGCAATTTTAAACCTTAAAAACCTGTTCTGCCTTCTGTAGCATTTTTTCATAGTATTTAATCAGAAGAGTAGAAATAATACAAGGTCAGTGACGTAAATTCCTCATATTTACTCTAATATGGTATGCGTGCTTTTAGATTTTATATTCATGCCAGTTATTTATTTATTTTACATCCTGGCTGCAGCCTCCTTACACCATCCTCCTCTCCAGTCCCTCTCCCCCATTTCCCCTCCCATCCCACAATCCCTTTTTCTTCCTTCTCCA